GGCGGCCTCGGCTATGCCGCCGCGGGGGGACGGTGCCTCCCCCTGTGCCTTCTCTGGGCTGAACGTGGGCCCCGCTCCTGCCGGGGCGGACTACCCCCCCCAAACCCGATCCGTGGTTTTGTGCTCTCGTTTCCCTCCCTGCAGATTTTAGGGTGCTGATTCACACTGCTCCTTTTGCCCAGCCGCTCAAGGCTCCTTCATTAACAACAACAACAACAACAAAACTATCAAAGAAACCTCGTCCTTGTTTTGCAAGTGGGGGAACCAGGGCAGAGACGGCAAAATAATGTCTCTGAGGTCAGAGCTCAGGGAAGTGATGGGTCCAAGAGCAGCGCATAGTCGTTCCTGACTCCCGTCCTCGCCCAGCGGGACCGCAGATGCTCCCTCAGGTGTTTGGTTTTACTATGAAAACAGACCAATGCGTTTCAGACAAAAAAAAAACAACAAACACCAAACCCAAACCCACCTCTCAGAGCAAATTAGACCCATGATTTTGAAGTTTGAAGGACCACTATGTCAAAGATGGGGAATATCCAGGGCCAAAAGATCCTCTGTTGCTTTTGCAAATGCAAAGTTTCAGAATATCGTCTTCTCAGAAGAAAGCAGAATGTACGTCAACATCATGCTATTGCCAAAAATGCACACATTGAATCAGTTTGTTCAGCTAGAAGGGCAGCTTGTAGGTTGGATGAAATAAGCTGTCAGATCAATTCTGTACTGCTGTGACTTCAGTACTCACAGCACCGAATGACACAGGACTGAGTGTCCAGTTTTGGTGAGTGAACCCACAGAAGGGAACAACTCACCCGGGGCCATCCAAGCAGGAGGACTGAAAAAATTGCAACATGTAGTCTAGAGAAGAAAGAATTGAGGGAGACATGGCAACTGACTCCAAGTACGTACAAAGATAATTCGAAGAGGAAATTAATAAGTACTTTGTCTGTGGTGGAGAAGAAATGAGCCATCAGCTCATCAATAGTGCCTGCCACTACATGGGCAGTGAGGGGAAGGGTTGGCCTTCTACTCAGTGAAATGGAAAATTGACCAAAGATACCAAGAAGCTGCAAGTATTTTTCACTTGTCTTCACTGTGATGGTGGTGAGGTGAATGCCTTAAATAGCACCACTGACAAAAGGGTAAAAAGTCATTCTAGATTTCTAAGTGCTTAGTCAAAGTCAATGCTTTCAGACCAGGTAGTCTTGATGAAATTCATCCTGTTGGAGAACTGGATGAAGCAACGTCCAGCCCACTACAGAATGGAGATGTTCAGAAAACTGGTAAAGGCCAAATAATATTAGCTAAAAAAAAAAGGATCCGAGGAATTACTGGTCAGCCAGTGTTACTTTGCTGCCTCCCCCTGTGATAC